TCCTCCTCCTCTGGCCGCACTGCCAACGTCCGGCCCATCCCTTATTTTCAATACGAGAAAACTGAGACCCAAGACTGTAAGCGACTTCCTCTGGGACACACACACACACACACACACACACACACACACACACACACACACACACACACAAACACACGAATTGTCGTGGTCATGGTGTTGAAAGGTTCAGGCTTTGACGCTGATGGCTCTACCTCCTTAAGAGACAGACCCGCCCCCTGACACAGTCTGGGCAGGCACAGGAAAACTTGCTAAGTCATCGCAGGACACCCGCCATGCATTACACCCGCTGAGGACTCTGGGCATGTGTAGAACCTCAGTGCACAGGTGCAGTCTTCCCTTTAAAAGCTCCAACTTCTCTCTCTGCTTCCTCTCTTTATGCTCTCTCTCTGCTCACTCCTTCTCTGCTCTTCTCTTCTCCCACCTATGCACTCTCTCTGGCTCTTTATGGTGATCGACCATGGCTGTCAGCCATTACCCTTGTTCCTCTTCTAAACTAGTCAACATGTCCCATCCCACAGCTTTCTCTTTTTCTCTTTTTAAATAAAAACATAACAGGTGTCTCTTCACAGCAATAGAAACTCTAAGACACCCACACTGTTCCATGCAAAGTAATAGGCAGCTGTGGCTCTGTGTTGGTGCATCTGATCCCTGCTCCCAGAGGGGCAGGCACTGATGATGGTGGATACTGATAACTGCTGCACATCAGCCAGGGGCTACACTGCCACCCTGGGCAGCCTTGCCAAGGCCACCTTTGATGCCATCTTTAAGACATACAGCTACCAGATCCAGGACCCCTGGAAAGAGAGAGTGTTCATCACGTCTCCTTATCAGAATTTACTGGCCAGCTTGTGAAAACACATGTCAGTTGTCTCTGTCCAGGGGACCCGGGCTCCAGCTGTGGCTTTATTTTTCTATAAAGAAAAATAAAGTGAATTAAATCTGCTAAAAAAAAAAAAATAGTAAGCCAGGCAGTGGTAGTGCACACCTTTAATCCCAGTCCTGGGGAGGCAGAGGCAGGTGGATATCTGTGAGTTAGAGACCAGCCTGGTCTACAAGAGTTAGTTCCAGGACAGCCTCCAAAGCCACAGAGAAACCCTGCCTTGAACCTCCCCCCAACAAACAAACAAACAAACAAACAAATAAAAAATGTTTCTGCTGTCCTGGATCACAAGCTTCGTCTGTTCCTTTCTGGGACTCTTTCTGTGTGTTTAAGAAAATCCTTCGTCCAGATGCAACTTTGTTTCAATTCTGAGTCAGCCTTGGTTTCACTTTCAAATCACTGCATAGTAATCTGGTAAAAAGTTGAGTAAGGAAACTAAGGAAAAACTAGAGGGTGGGGCAGGGCGGGGTGAGTGAGAAATAGCTTGTGCTGAGGACGCCACTAGGGAGTAACAGGCAGTAATTAATAACATGGCGGCCAGAGTCACACTCCCCATGGGAGTATGACTTAAAGGGCTTCCTCCTCCTAGGCTTACTCTCTAGGGCCCCCTGGAGGAACTCACAGACTTTTATTTTTTTCTGTCTGAAGCTGTTCGAATTCATTGGTGGCCACAGAAAGGCCAGGTTCTCGGGAAATCAGAAAACAACAATAATCCAAACCCAACAATAACCGACCCTGAGTGGCTGGGCAGGCTTTCAGAAAATAATAATCTGTAAATAACTAAAT